TTCCTTCCTTCCTTCCTTCCTTCCTTCCTTCCTTCCTTCCTTTCATTCTTGAGACAGATTCTCACTCTGTAGTTTACACTCATCTTGAACTCACTGTGTAGCCCAGGCTGACCTTGAACTGGAGGTGATCCTCTTGCCTCAGCCTCTTGAGTGCTAGGATTATAGGGGTGTACTACCATGCCTGGCCAAGAATAGTAAATTTTGTTTCCACTGTTATTATTTATTATTATTATTTGTAGCAATAATGTTGGGTGAGTTTACAGGGGATGTTTTCCCTCTTTTCCTTTGGTTTTGTCATGTATGTGTATGCAAATGCCACTGAGATGTATAAAGCCAACAAAGGGAATAATTACCCAGTTCAGTGCCTTCTTCCAAATCACTCAGCTGAATACTTCCTTTACACAATAGGCAATCACGTATTCATATAATTTTTGTGGTTTTCACATTGTATATTTTCCCACCATTCAAAAAATAAATTAAATTGAGTTGAATCTGTGATAGTTACATCCTTGTTTCATTGACAAGAATGAATTTGGTACATGAAATTATGATGTGTATTAAATTTTTGACAGTTTGGTTTGATGATGCATGATAGGAAAGAAAAATATTGTTTTCTGTACTCCTTCATATCTTATGATTATAGCATGTATGTAGTTTTATACTTGGCTTGAAATTATCAGCTTAGGAAATTTTCACACATACATATGAAGGTAATTCAGAATGGAAATAGGAATTTGGTGGGTAAAAATTACTGTCAGTGAGACCTTTTAAGATTACAAAGTTTCTGTATTTATTAATACTCTCAAAATATTTTTAAAATTGGCTACCGCAATACTTAGTGTCGAACTGTGCCATAGAATGGCAAAATTCCAGGATTCTCTGAAATTTTGAATAAAACACATGACAATATTGAATTATAAAAGCAATTCAACACTTTTAAAAATGAACTATATAAGAATATTTTTAAAATAGACTATCATATATTTTGTACAGAAATGTAAAAAAGATTTTTGCATGTTATTACCCATAACTATAGTTGAAAGTTGTTAATCAAAAATCTATTCAATCATCAGAAGAAATTTAAAACATACCTTCTATCTCAAATATTGCATTGTTGTTTAGATACAATTCAGTCAGACAATAGTTTCTGGTTAAAAATGCTATTCCTTGGAGCTGAAAATGAAAGTTAGAAAGTAATAGTTTCTACAATAGTTACAGATATATTTACAATTTTAAGCAGACAATAGGAATTTGATCTTTGCAAATATTATTTGTGACCTTTTGGACTAAGCTATGTGTTAGTTCTGGGTTGTCTTCAAGGATTTTTGTAGTAAAATCATCTGACTTTCAAAGCCTCTATACTCCAGCTTCATCCTTTTGCTTGAACAGTGTTTCTTCTGGTTCTGTTCCATAGAGCTTCATTGATTGGGTGCATAAGCCCACTGATCTGCCATCTGCTATTATCACTGGCCAAGAGCTTTCTCAGACAGTGCTGCAGCCATTTCTGCATCTGCATGAGCCTTGGCCTATGCATGCTTCCTTCCTGGTACATTTCTGATTATGCATAAGGATCAGTCCCAGGGAAGCAGGACACACCAAACCACAGTACATCTTCACAATTTCAGACGTTTGTCCAGACCATCCTTTCTCTTCCCCATGGCTCAGGATTGATTTCTCGCTCTGCTCTGGCCCACTTTCGTGCTTCTCTGAACTTCTACCTACTCGAGCTCTTTTAGTCAGATCTCCTGAATCATGGTTGAATTCTGAACTCTCATTTGACCTAGTAGATAGGCCATCTCTTCATCTCTACTTCTCTATCCTTCTAGTATACAAATCTTCTCAATTTAGCCAAAGACAAGGGAGGTGACATTGCCAATCAGTCCTGGTGCCAACAGCTCAACCAGCCACCAGCCATGACTTGAGGATAAAGCACATGGTAATCTAATTATTTCTTACTTTTCAGATAATCATTTTTCACTACATCTTTTGAAATGCCCCAGTGTTCATGAACCTTTGTTTTCTTTCCTATTTCAACATCTGACTTATAGAATCAGTCAGTACATCACTAGAGTTTTGTGTCTTCTTAAGATAGAAGCCATATTTGTTCAATATTATCCTTCTCATTTCTGTTGTATTGAATATGGTAAACTCACATGTTTTCATGGTTAGATTTAAAATTTAGCATGTTTAAAATAGAAATATTCATATGTATTCTCTTAAAAATCCCAAAATGGATCATAAAGAATATCTATCTATCTATCTATCTATCTATCTATCTATCTATCTATCTATCTATCTGTCTGTCTATCTATCTGAAATGGGATATTCAATGCCAGGAATCTTTGTTACTCCACAAGGAGAACCTCAATTAAAATATAGATTAACTCTATAATCTTGATAAAAATTTCACATCTTTGTTTGACTTATGAGACATGGTAAAGCCATAAAATCCTGGTAGGTATTTATTTTGTAAGGATAGCAGAGAAGTTAAATATAAAAGTGGTGTCTTTACTATTTAATACAGGCTCTAGATTGGGAAAAAAGCTTATGGAATAGTTACTGGTCAAGTACTAAGTACTTGTATATAGAAGATATGCTTATGATTAAAATTTTACTTTTATAAAGCTTGTCATAGAAACAATTATTACTACCTATGTAGAAATATTTTAGCATTAAGATTTTGTTAAGTAGACACCAGCACATCTGGCAGTAGGAATCTATTGGAAATTTTACTCACCCTCCCCCACCACCCCATAAAAGTCCCTTTTGATACTATCTAAAACTTTAACACTGATCTCTTTGGTTAATTTTCCTTAACTTCTTACATTGATAACATTCACAGCTTGTGAGGCTATGCAGAGTGTATGTACCACCCTCTCATCATTCCCTGGGCTCATCTCCACTGCATTACATCAGCACTCAGCAGCAGAACCACAGTTCTACCCTGGCTCTCGTTAAGGCCTGGGGAGAGCCATGTTTCCCCAAGGCAGGGAAATCATTCACAGTAAGAAGGGAAGACTTCCCATGGGCTTCCTGCGCTTTTCTACATTTTTTCTTGGTCTCCAGGCAGCCATTCAGTGCCTTCTGTTGTTCCTTGCACCACTCCCTGCTCTCGTAATAACCATGCTTGACATCAGCGTAGGAAAATAAGACCAGTGGAAATCATGGCTTTTTTATCTCTTATTTTCCAGTTATCACCTGGCAACCCACAAATAGAGCGTTATTAATTGATCAAGGCTAATTTTGCTTACATCACTCGGCAACACAAAAGAACATTACTAAACTGGACAGCTTCATCCTGGCTATACAATTACAGAACACTATACAATTCCCAAGAGTACTGACTGACACCCGGTGATCATGATATTGGGATGTTAAGCATGTACTGTTTGCTGAGGCCAGGAGAGGTCAAAGGGAAAGAGAGAAAGCCAGATCAGATGGCTGTGGGAGTTATTAAAAGATTGGAGCTGGACATAGTGGCCAGTGCCTGTAATCCCATCTCTCTGGGAGGCTGAGGCAAGTGGACTCTCCGATTTGAGACCAGCTTGGGCAATTTAGTGACTTGGTAAAGCCCTGTCTTTAAAAAAAAGAATGTCTGGACACATAATTCAGTGTGAAGGGTCTGGGTTTAGTCTGTAGCACTGCAAAAATAACAAAACAACTGAGAAAATAACAACAACCAAGCCAAAGCAAACCAAACCACTGTAAAAACTGATAAACAGATTTAGTAAAGTCATAAGACATAAAAACAACATACAAAAAGGAGTTGCATTTGTATATATTAAAAACAAACTATTAAAAATGGGAATTAATAAAACAATTCTATTTATATTGTCAGTAACAACCAAAGATACAGTGGTGCCTTAATTCATGAATTTAATTTGCTCTTTGACTCTGATCATGAACCAAATTAGCTACAAACCAAATCATACAAGGTTCAATGTAAATAAGGTTAATCTATTTTGACCCCTACCAACATTGTCTCAAACCAATTTTAGTTACAAACTGAATAAAATTTTTCTCATAAGGTTCAATGCAAATAAGGTTAATGCATTCTGAATCTTATGTACTTTTAACCACAAAAATATGAAATAAATACAGTATAGTATGAAGAGAGAAAACATCACTCCTGCTTCAGAAAACTCCTGGCATGGAGGAGGACAGGAAGGTGGGCTGGAAGGAAGTAATCATTTGGAAGGAGAGTCTCCCTGCATACGGCCATAGGAGATCTCCTTCACAGGTTTCCTCTCTTCTTTGTCTCTTAGCTACGTGGACAGTTTTGATGGAAAATCTGTCTAATATCACTTGTTTTATTCTTCACTGCATAACCATCCATAAATGAGAGACCATGTTATCTTTCATCACATTCAACTCTCTGTTCATACTGGTCATGTGCAGGTGGTGCTTCTCAAAGAAATCCTGGCATACTGAGAAAATAAGCTCGATTTTTCCATAATGCATTTTGTCACGCTGCTGCTAACCCTCTCCCAGTCTTCCTCTTCTACCATGGAATGCTCCTTAACAAATGCCTCTAGGTGCTCCCTCTGGAGTTCAGGACATTCTTCCACCATCAGCTCCTTAACCTACCCAGCAAGCCTCTCTGTGTCTGCACCATCAACACCCAGACCTGTGCTCTTGCCCGTGGTCACAACTTCCTTTACTATTTGTATATCAGACCCTTCAAAGTTATATTCAGGGACACATTCTTGTTGAAGTGCCCCCCCCCGATCTAGAGTGTGTGTTGAATGGAGTGTTACATTCAGTATATGACATCTTCCTTTTTTCATTGTCAAGGAGGTTGATGCAGTGCAGTACACTGAAATGTTTCTTTCAGAGCTCTTGCCGAGCCAAGGATGTCTCTTTGGTGACATTAAAGCACCTGGTGAAAAGTGCCCTTGCGTACAGCTTCTAGAAGTTTCAGATCACTTGTGGTCCATGGGCTGCAGAAGAGGTGTCCTCTTGAGAAGGGAGGGACTTGACCTGTACGAAGTCATACTCAGGATCTGCTATAGTTTGCGTCTAGATGCACCCCTAAAGCCTCATTCAGTCATTGGTGGGACTTTTCAGAAGTGTTTGGATTTAAGGTGCATGCTGCTGGGATCAGTGAGGTGATTCTGTGATTGATTCAAGGTGTGATGGTGGGACTTAGGGTGTCCTGCTGAGTGCAAGTATGAGGCTACCTACCCTAAGGGTGGGTAGCTTGGATGAGATGTAAGGGACAGAAAGAAGGTCACTTCTTGCTGCTTGCTGCATTCTGCCTTCTGCCTGCCCTGCTTTGCCATGGACTGGTTCTTCTCTGTGATGCTTCTCTTCCATACCACCTCCCTTGGAACCAGAAAACTGTGAACAGAAACCTCTATACACTATGTGAGCTAAATAAGTCTTTTCTTCTTTAACATTGGGTGTTGGGTATTTTGTCTCAGTAACAAGAAAAGTAAAACAGTGTCCATATCATTCACCAAGACTAGAGGCTGTGCTGGGGCACTGTCCATCAGAAAAAGGCACCTGGGCAGGCCAGCAAGGTAGCTAGCTCAGTGGACTAAGCACCTGCTTTGGCAAGCGCAGGTTCCAGGGTTTGATTTCTAGTCTCACATATCGCACCACTCTGCCTCTAGGGCACGCTGAGTTGGAGACAGAGTCCAGTCATGGTGGCGCACATCTGTAATCCCAGCGCTGGGGAGGTTGAAAACAGGATCATGTGAGTCCAATCTGCATAGTGAGATTCTATACCGAATATACAAATTAAAAGAAAAAGAAAAAGAAGGAAGGAAGGAAAGAAAGAAAGGAAAGAAAAAGAAAGAAGAAAGAAAGAAAAAGGCACCTAGGGCTGAAGAGATAGCTCAGCAGTATAAGTGCCTGCCTGGCAGGGGCAAGGACCAAGGTTCGATCCCAGGTACCTCATGCCATACCACTGTGCCACCTCAAAACAGGGCATAGTGGTACGTGCCTATAATCCCAGTTTTGGGAAGCCTGAGACACAAGGATCACTATGAGTCTGAGCTGCATAGCGAGACCCTGTACCAAATAAATAGATAAATAATTAGAGAAGAAGAAAGACAAAGGAGGTGCTTTTGAGGTAGTTGACCATCAGAAAGATATTTCTTAACAGTGGGTATGAACACCTCACAGAGCAGGCATTCAGGAGCAGTTGCGTGTGACCCAAGCTTTCACAC